GTGTACTCTGTTATTCTAAAATCTGGGAACATGTGTGAACTTGGCGTTATATTTCTGGTGGAATTTGCCCGAGAAGTCATTTGGGCTTAGAGTTTTCTTTGCGAGGAGTTTTTACGTATGGATTTAACTCTTTCATAGAGAACTATTTTCTATTTCTTCAAATAGGATTAAAAAATTGTCCATTTAATCTAACTTTAAAAACTTACGTATACACGGTTTTGTTTTATTTTTTTTAAATTTTTAAATGTTTTATTTATTTCTGAGAGAGAGAGAGAGAGAGACAGCGTGAGCAGGGGAAGGTCAGAGAGAGAGGGAGACACAGAATCCGAAACAGGTTCCAGGCTCTGAGCTGTCAGCACAGAGCCCAGTGTGGGGCTCGAACACACGAACCCTGAAATAATGACATGAGCCGAAGTCAGACGCTTAACTGACTGAGCCACCCAGGTGCCCCTATACACAATTTTTTAAAGTTTATTTATTTATTTTGAGAGAGAGAGAGAGGAGGAGGGGCAGAGAGAAAGAGGGAGAGAGAGAATCACAAGCAGACTCCATGCTGCACAGAACCCAAAGCACGACTCACTCCCATGAACCATGAGATCATGATCTGAGCCAAAACCAAGAGTCAAATGCTTAACTGACTGAGATACCCAGGCACCTTCGTATCTATAGTTTTTATAACACATCCATACTATTTTTTTAGCATGTTTCAGATGCATAGGAATGGCTCATATTTCCTTCCTGACCTTGGTTATTTGTGCTTCTTTTGTGTTTTTCTTGATCAGTCTCACCAATGGGTTGTTAATGTTATTGTATATTTAAAGAACCAACTTTTGATTTTCTTAATCTTATTTTACATTGTTTTCTATTTCATTAACTTCTGTTGTGTTTATTATTATTTCCTTTCTTCTATATCATTTTTTTTTACAAATAGTTTATTGTCAAGTATGTTTCCATATAATCTTCTATATCATTTTATTTGATACATGGTTTCTTTTCTAATGTCATCAGATGATGACCTCATCTTTTTTTTTTTTTTTTTTTACTGTATATACTAACATATGCATTTGAAGCAGTAAAATCTCCTCCTCAACACAGGATGAGATGTATCTGTAAAGGTTTTTAAAAACAGCTTTTTGAGATACAATTTACATACCATAAAACTCACCCACTGATGGTGTAGGATTCAATGATTTTTAGTAAATTGAGAGCTGTACCAATGTCCTCAGTTCTGGAACAATTCCATTGCTACAAAAAATGCAATAAGGGCTTTTGCTATCAATTCCGACTCTTTTTTTTAAAAACCTTAGACTGATATATATATATTTCTTTTTTAAGAGCGAATCACAGAGAGAGAATGTGAGCAGGGGAGGGGCAGAGAGAGAGGGAGACACAGAATCTGAAGCAGGCTTCAGGCTCCGAGCTTTCAGCACAGAGCCCGACGTGGGGCTCAAACCCACGAACCATGAAATCATGACCAGCGCCGCAGTCGGATGCTCAACTGACTGAGACCCCCAGGTGTCCTGCTATCAGCTCCTCCTCTTAAATCCAGCTGTGGGCAACCATTGATCTACTTTATGGCTCTGTTCTTTTGCCTTTGCTGGGTAATTTGTATGAGTGGAATCACATAATATTTTGTCTTTTTGCTCTGGCTTCTTTCACCTAATGTATTGTTTTTGAGACTTATCCACATTGTACTGTGTTATCTGATAATTCTTTTTTTGTTGCTGAATAATATACCACTATGTTGGTAGACCCCAATGATGTGTCAGCTGGAGGAGGAAATGATTGTATGACCTCTATTTCTACTTCTATCTGTCTATGTCCATGTTCATATCTATCATGTGCATATGTCTGTATACCTATACCTAATCCATTCATCCACCCATCCATCTTATGGAAGAAATAGGAACATGTTTGCATCCTGATAGAAAATGTCTTTGGGGCGCCTGGGAGGCTCAGTTGGTTAAGTGTTCGACTTCCACTCAGGTCATGATCTCGCGGTTCGTGGGTTCGAGCCCTGCGTCAGGTTCTGTGCTGACAGCCCAGAACCTGGAGCCTGTTTTAGATTCTGTATCTTCCTCTTTCTCTGACCCTCCCCTGCTCGCACCGTCTCTCTGTCTCTCTTTCTCAGAAATAAATAAAACATAAAAAAGAAAAAAGAAAATGTCTAGTAGATAGGGAGAGTTTGTGATCGTGAAGGTAAGGGCCAGGGTTGTTGGTGTGGTGTCCTTGAATGGGTGAGATAAAATACCACCAATGACATGGGTGGAGGAGGGGTGGCCCCAGCTAGGGGCATGACCAGGTCTCCACTGCAACACGAGGGAAGGTGGAGATGTGAGTGGAGCCGCAGGTGGGTGGGTAGATGATTATTGCCCATATTTTGCCAGTGAAAAGGAAATAAGGTCATCAGACGAGAGTGATTTGGGGCAGGAGGTGTTGGAGGTTAGATAAGAGGTGAAGGCATGAGAGCCAAGTTATGCAGTATTTACTCAAGGCTGTGGGAGCATAAAAGGGCTCATGTAGAGGGCGGCTGCTCCCAGGATCAAGTCCTCTTTTATGGTCTAGTGATCATGAATCTAAAATGAGACCCATCAGAAAAAAAAAATCAGTGGATATTTTTCAAGGTATATTCAGCAGTTAGAGTGCAGGCTTGGAACAGGGGTAGGGGTGGGGAGGGTCAGAGGGTTCTGCCAAGCAGGCATGATAAAGGCAGAAAGACAGAGGAGCTGAGGATAGAGCTGGCCGTGGAATTTAAGCAGGGCAAGGAGGAAGGGAGGGCTCCGGGAAGAGAGGGAGGCGGAAACTGGCAGTATCAGTGGATCACACATCCCAGTGGGGTTGGAAGCCTCAAGGAAGGAGCTGGGGGAAAAAAGAGGGTGTGGAGGCCACTTGGGCTTGTGGCGAGGTCGCTGGGCTGTGATGGAGTCTGTGCAATGACTGGAGAGTGAAGTCCCCAGGGATTCCCATCAGCTGAAAGGACACAGGCTCTGATTTTAGGGAGGACCCAGGGGCCAGAGGGTAACTAGTCCCCATCCCAAAGGCCAGTAAGGAGGAGCTTGAGAGCTTCAGCCCAGAAACCCTGGCCCCTGGTCACAGATTTTGGCCGTGGTTTACTCTTTCTGAATAATCACTTTTCTCATCTATGAAACAGATATGTGTTAGAATCAAGCAGCATTTAGGGGGGCCTGTCCCAGGGTGAACCCTCTGCTGAGCACCACCTGTCTACTATCAGTCGTGAGAATTACTGAAGATCGTGGGTGCCTGGGTGGCTCAGTCAGTTAAGCGTCCAACTTCGGCGCTGGTCATGATTTCATGGTTTGTGGGTTTGAGCCCCATGTTGGGCTCTGTGCTGACAGCTCGGAGCCTAGAGCGTGCTTTAGATTCTGTGTCTCCCTCTCTCTCTGCCCCTTCCCTGCTCACATTCTCTCTCTGTCTCTTTCTCAAAAAAAAAAAAAAATATATATATATATATATTATAATCAGTCTAAGGTTTTAAAAAAAAAGAGTTGGAATTGATAAGAAAAGCTCTTATTGCATTTTTTTGTAGCAATGGAATTGTTCCAGAACTGAGGACATTGGTACAGCTCTCAATTTACTAAAAATCATTGAATCCTACACCATCAGTGGGTGAGTTTTATGGTATGTAAATTGTATCTCAAAAAGCTGTTTTTAAAAACCTTTACAGATACATCTCATCCTGTGTTGAGGAGGAGATTTTACTGCTTCAAATGCATATGTTAGTATATACAGTAAAGAACCACGATTCTTTGACTTCGGTTTGCTGTCAGGCTTCGCCTTTAGCACCTGTCACTGATTCGCATTCCTTCAGTACTGAGCTCCTTGACCGTTCGGCTTAAAATTCTACCTGACTTGCCTCCCAGTAAAGACATGGACCCTCTTGGTAGCAAAAGAGAATATATCACCCGGCTTCCAGTTTGTACCCAGGCCAGGTGCCGTGAGCACCTCCACGATGACCCTTTGAGGTTGGGCCCTGCCTCCTCTGTCTCCTTCTGCCCCATGATCGTGCATCGCGCACTTCAGGTACCTGATGGAGGCTTGCTCAGAGGATTTGCTCGGGACCGACCGCACAATGGGACTTTTGCGAAGAGCTCAGCGCCTGCTCTGTGAGCATCTTTGAGAGAAGGAGTCCCTCACGCAGAGCTTTGCGGACAGGGCTTAAAAAGGAGCTCTGTGCAGGGACATGGCTGAGACATGGCAAAGCTTCCAAACGCAAAGTCATATTAAGTAGCTTTTCTTAGCAAAGAGAACCTGGAAATCCCTGGCACATTCAGCCACTTGTACAGAGACTTGAGACCCAGCTGGCCCCTCGTTGCCCCTGGGGCTGTCGGACACAGCCCTCTGTGTCACACAAAGGACACCTAGACCCCTCTCAGTGGGCACCAAAGCACCTTCACACAAGGCTGTCATTTGCTGCTTTATTGAGTTGATCATTCCAAGGAACACAGGTCCTCCGCAGTGCAGGGAGCAAGGGCACGAGAGAACTAAAAGCAGAGAGAAAAGTCCAGAAACCAGAAAGGGATGTGAAGCTGCCCGGGAGTCACAGAGGTCACGAGGGTGACACAGATCTGCAGATCCTCCCAGGAATGCTGGTGTTGGGACAGTGAGTTGGGCTTGTGAACGTTCAACTCTCCGGACGTTCGTGTGCTAATCTGTGCCCTGGGCGATAATGACTCAGGGGGATTTTGTACCAAGACCGGAAGAGAGACCGGGAGCTGTGCCCTCAGTGCACGCCCGCCCTCCCCTTCCTTTTCCTTCGGGAGCTCAGGACGGGGGAGGTGGAGGCTGGCGTGTCCTCTGGTCCCCTGACTAGGCTTTTGCTGTGGGATTCATCACTTTCCCCATCAGGAGAAGGCCTGGGCTGCCTTCCTTAAATGTTAAGAGCAGGAAAGGTCCGTGGTAATGAACCGGGGAGGGGTGGGGCCTGGGGTGGGACCGGAAGCTTGAGGTATCTTCCTCCTCATCTCCTTTCTCGTCCATGGTCAGCTCTGCTCTGTGCACCGCCTGCGGGGACCGAGTTCAGGGTGCTGATCGCAGCAGGGGCTGCTTCTCCTCCGGGGGCGCGGGGCGGGGGGTGGCCGCCCTGGGCCTGGGGCTGAGCTCTGACCCTCTGTTCGCTGGGGAGTAAGGTCAGGCGGAGAGGCTGTGGCCTGTGGCGCACAGAGCACTTCAAGGGCCTGCCACGGACTCCTGATTCTGTCAAGGCCGATGCGTGGGCGCGAGCGGGCTCCCTGCGTGGGGACCGTTTCCTCATCCAAAGGGATGGAGGATGCGGTCTCTCCCCATGGGGCCTGACTCATGGGTGGAGGGCTCACTGCCTGCTCTTCCGGTCCCTTTTCTACGGCAGAGCCCCCTCTGCCCCTCCGTGGTTCGTGCCCCCGGGATGCTCCCAGCTTGCATCGCTTTCCCACAGGAGTCTTGGCATTTCCACCTCCAAACGCCTCCCCTGCCCAACCCTTCTCACTGTCCGTGCTGCCTCTCTCGCTGGCCGTCTCATCCCCTGCCGGCCCCCCCCCCCGGGGTACAGGGGGGCCGTCCCAGAGCCCTCGCCTGTCCCACAAGGCCCCCGAGGAGCCAGACCCCGCTCACCAGGCACCGCAGACCCACTTCCCCTCTTGCCGGCTCCCGTCACGCCCCCTCCGCCCCCCGCATTCCCCCAGAGCTGGTTCACATTTCCAGGTATTTCCTCTTTCTACTCCCCAGAGATCCCACGGTGGTGTTAGGGCTTCAGGACCCAGTGGGGCGGGTCGAGGGGGGCTCACCCTGATTCTCGTGGAACCTGGAGGGGATGTCACCCCCTCCTGGAGGGGTCAGTATTGCACAAACAATGCCTGGCCTCACGCTGTCCCCAGAGCAGGGGTGCTTGCCTTAGGGGGGAGCCTGGGAAAGGGGGGCATCACCCCTCACCGCCAAATGAGGCTCAGCCCTTTCCTCTGGAGCAGCTGGGGTGCTGCAGTTCACAAGTTCCACATTTCACTTCCGCACCAGATGGGGAGCCCCTGGCGGCCAGGCCCTGTGTCCCCCAGGGCGCTGCGCGGCCACAGGCATCACCCGGCCCCCCGGTGCGTGCTGAATGAAGGAGGAAGAGAGGCTCACTATAAACGGCCCAGACACCTGGGATGTCTAACTTACCCTTGAAATCTTCATGGAGTTGGTTTGCAGAGAAATGCTTGTGATTCAGGCACGGCTATTGAATGTATCTGACAGGCCCCTTGAGGGCAGGGACCGCTCCAATTGATTGTTCCCAGATAGAATTTCAGAAGGTACAGCCTCCTCCTGCTACTTAGGGGGGTGAAGGGGGCAAACAGAGCTGAGGTCAAGTCACCTAACAAATGGCCCCTCGAGCGATCTCACTGCACGGAAGTTAATAGAGTAACACCCATATCAGCTGTGTTTACTGGGTGCCTTCAACGAACAGACCTGTGCCAGGCACTTTATAAGGTAATTTCATTTTGTCCTCATGGTGGCTCTGGGAGCTGGGGTGTCACAAATACCGGCTTCCCATCAATGAGAAAATGTGGGGTTGAAAAGGTTGAGTGATTTCCCCGAAGTCACACAGTTTCTTTTTTTCAATTAAAAAAATTTTTTTTTAAAGTTTAGTCATTTCTGAGAGACAGAGAGAGACAGAGTGCAAGTGGGGGAGGAGCAGAAAGAGAGGGAGACACAGAATCCAAAGCAGGCTCCAGGCTCTGAGCTGTCTGCACAGAGCCCGATGCGGGGCTCGAACCCACGAATTGCAAGATCATGACCTGAGCTGAAGTTGGAGGCTTAACGGACAGAGCCACCCAAGCGCCCCCCACACCAAAGTCACACAGTGTCTAAAGAGCAAGGCTTGAACCCAGTCTGATGCCATTGCCGCTCAGACTGGACGCTCACTGGGCCCTGCAGGATAGGAGGCTGTGTGTCTGTCTGTGTAGCCTTGCCCTGTTGCCTTGGCTGAGTGTGGCCCCGGGATGCGGCTGGGAGCCCACGTCTCCTATTTCCTCCTGGTTCACCTTATGGTGTCTGCACCTGACAAAGTACACTGGGTTCACAGCCGCAGGGAGACTGTTTGCCCTTGGCTTCCCTGTCTCCACCACCAGCTGAGCCAACAGTCTCCTAACAGCTGCAGGCACCTTGCAGGTGGGCCAAGCAGCCCATTGGCATGAGAGCTGAGTCCCTCAGTCTTCTCTAGGGAAATGGTGCTGGGGGTCCAGAAAGTTCTGTCTGGGCGAAAACCTCAATCCGTAGCTCAGTGTGGTTTGCTCCATGTCTAGTGAGCCAGGTCTTGGGTGGGGAGGAGAACACAGGGCAGGCAAGGTGCCTGAGCCCACAGTCTGCACCTGGGGTCATCCTGAGGAACAGAGGAAGGTTTTGTCTTCCAGGGGACATCCGGCAAAGTGTGCAGACATTTTTGGTGGTCGCACCTGATGTGTGTGTGTGTGTGTGTGTGTGTGTGTGTGTGTGTGTGTGTGTGTGATGCATGTGTTGCTGGCATCCAGTAGATAGAGCATCTGGGCATCCACCAAACATCGGATGACACACAGGATGCTCCCCCCACCATGGGTGAGGCGCGGTGTGGCCCTTGATGTGCTGAGAGAGAATGACGGGTGTTCAGAAGGCATGAGGCAGACAGTGCTTGGTGATTTATGATGGCGGTGGGTCTCCAAGGTCTACTTGGCAGTACTGAGGCCTCCCTGGAGCCCAGGTCAGGGATTCCCAATCTTCAATCTGGATGTGAATTCCCTGGAATCTTGTTAAAATAAAGGTTCTAAGTCAGTAGGTATGTGATGGGGCCTGAGATCTTACATTTCTGACAAGCTCCCAGATGAATCCAGTGATGCTCATCTTGAGTGGCTGAGGCCTTGCATACTTTGGGGAGCATGTGAATTGATCGAGGACATGACAAAAAGGAGGGAAATGCAGGTGGCTGGAATGCCACAGCCTCGTGTAAAGGGACCTGGTTCAGGCTCCTACTGGGTCACTCACTGGTCACAGTGAATGTATTGGTTAAAAGTTGGGAAGATAGCCAGCCAACCATGGCTTCCATGGGACTGTAGTGCGTGTATAGGTCTTATGCTAAAATGCATGGTGTGTTCAAATCCTGTTTGGGAAAGGCTGGAGAGTCCTTTAAAGCATCTCAGTGCTTTGAAATCCTAACAAGAGGGGTGCCTGCAGGACTCAGTGGGATAAGCATCTGACTTCAGCTCAGGTCATGATCTCATGGTTCGTGGGTTTGAACCCCCGCATCGGGCTGTGTGCTGACAACTCAGAGCCTGGAGCCTGCTTCAGATTCTGTGTCTCCCTCTCTTTCTGCCCCTCCCCTGCTTGCACTCACTTTCTCTCTATCTTTCAAAAATGAATAAGCCTTAAAAAATTAAAAAAAAAAAAGAAAGAAAGAAATCCTAACACGAACTGTAAATCTTTCTGAGGAAGATCTGAAACGTGATGGTGCACCATTTTCCATCTCTTGCAAGAGTGGTTGGCTGAGTCATGCCTAATAATTAGGGTGTGCACTGTCCCCTGCTCCCTCACATCATGGACCCTAAGACCAGAGGGGTCACAGCCCCCCCCCCCCACATTGCAGAGGCCGAGAGGGTGGCTGTTCCTGCATATGGGAGTAGAAATAGCTGGGCTTTTACCCTAGTGGGAGCGGCTGAGTCCACATGTCAAGTTTCTCTTTCGCGAGAGCCGCTTCCGCCTCCCTGGCCGTGCTGGTGTTGGGCAGAATGAAGACCGCGGGGGTGTTGCAGCTGGAGGGCAGACACAGGACGTAGCTGTGCAGGTGCTAGAGGTGTTGGCTCTGGAGCCAGCCTGGCCGGTGCATGGTGGGCACGAGGGCCGTGACCCCCTCGCTCACCGAGAAAAGTCTGAGCCCAGGGAGCTTTGGGTCAAAGAGGACTTTCCATTTTCCTGATAAGAGAAAGGACACGGCCAGCATTCATGGCAGAGGGCACTGGATGCAGATATTTCATGCTGTGTGCCGGGCATCGTTCTCAGTGCAGGCAATAGGGTTGTGCACAGAGATCGTTGTTGGAGGAGAGCTTACATACTGGGGGGGCAACAAGGGATAAAAGAAATTAAGGAGAACTGTGTTAGATGGTGGTAGTGCTGAGGAGAGAAATAAAGGGAGGGGGAGATAAGAAATGTCAGGGGAGGGGAGTTGTCATTTCACATAAAGCCTCCTTGAGAAGGTGACATGGAAGAAATGCCTAACAGGGTGAGGGTGTGATGACACGACAGGGAGAATAGCTCCGAGAGAGGGGATGGTATGTGCAAAGGCCCAGGGGCAGGAATGGTTCTGGTGTGTTTAAGGGACATTGGGAAGCCTATGGAGCTGGAGCAAAAGGAGTGAGAGGGAGAGTAGTAGGAGGTGACACCAGGGAGAGGATGGGGACCATCAATTTCTTCATGCATACACTGGAGGTATAACAGCTGCCTCATTGGGTATCTGTGAGCATTCAGTGAGATGCTCTAAGTGAAGCCTGAGCACAATGCCTAGCACATAGCAGTTGCTCAGTAATTGTTGGCTCTTAATTTTACTATTACAGTGCTTACTGCAACTCTACAAAATATGACACTGCACTGTTCGTTCCCTGGTATCAGCTGGAGAAGCTCGAATGCATTCTATAAGGAAACCGTAGGTTACAGCCCAAGGAGGTTTGTCAAGGCTGGGGTGAGCCCACCCCCTCCTTCGTTAGAGTTGGCTTTCTGCCTTCTCTTCTGGCAGCTGAGGCTCCTGACCAGAAGCTGAGGGGTCCAGCTCTGAGGGGCCGCATAGCCAACCTTGCAGGGCAGGAAGTGTGGAGAACCAGGAAGCTGAATTTCTGAGCACTGTAACCTTGACAGTGTTTGGATTCCAGGGAGGCGGGTGTTATACAACACAATAACCTCCCCTGTATTCAGAAGCCCACAGACTTGTGGGGATAGAAACAAGTAATCAGAAAACTACAATGTTGCATGTTAAGTCTTCAGAGTAAAGAGAGGAAGTGGCACCATCCCAGACCACAGAGGAGAGACAGGTTTTTCCTCTCCAGTGGCTCTAACCCTCTTGTTAACTGAAGACCCCCCAACTTTCAATGGGCAGCCCAAACCTCTTATGAGCTCTAGACCCATAATCCCAGCCAGCCATCTGGTCATCTCCATCCATGTGTCCTAGAAGCACCTCACACTCAGCAGGTTGAAAGCAAAAAACATTTATCCCACTGCCATCTACTTTGGGGGATGGTGGGTTGAGTTGCCAGACAAAATACAAGATGCTCACTTAAATCTGAATTTCAGAAAATGAGAAACAAATTTTTAAATATGAATATAACTATGTTTTACTTCTGAATTTGACAACCCTAGTAGTAGAGGCTGTTTAAAAAGGCTTCCTGGGGGTGGTGACTTTGGAGCTGAGCCCTGAAGGGGGGATTACCCAATGGCCGGGGACATGGAGGGGAGAAGGGGAGGAATGGGGTGAATGACCTGTATAGAGACCCACAGGCAGGAGAGATCACATAGTTCAGGAAGGGGTGTTGTTTCATGGGCTAGCCTCCGGCCCTCTTGGATAGAGGAAGGTGGATGGAGGGTGACAACAGATGTGGTTGAAGATGTCAGCTGGGACAGGTCATTGAAGCGCCTTGTGGTCCATCCCAAAGATGTGGAGCATGACCCTAAGTGTCCCAGTTGGGTGGGGGTCACTTACAGGTTCTCAGCAGTGAAGTTATAAGATCAAGTTTGACTGATAGAATGGTTACCCGGACTGCATGGTGGAAACTGGATTAAGGGAGGCAAACTACAGACAGGAAAGCCAGTTAAGAAGCAACTGCAGTTCTTTTGGTAAGAGACAATGTAGCCCAAATAAGGCGAGTGGCAGTGGAGACAGACGATGGGACAGACTGAAGAACAATTAGGGAGGAGACATCCACAGGTGGCAGTTCCAGTCTATAAGTGTAGTGCAGGAGGGAAAGGAGACAGAGGATCTTCCCAGATAGTGGTTAGACCTGGTTTGGGCAGGTGCATTCAGACTTAGAGGAAAGGAAATGGAAGACAGGATTCAGAGCGGGGAGAAACAGCTGGAAGAAATTCTTCTTGCTTGGGGCATGCTGAACTTAGGGCACTTCTTGGACATTTGGGTGGAGGTGACCAGACAGTAGGTGGGAGGTATGGGTCTGGAGCTCGTGAGAGGCTGGCACTGGGCACAGAGAGTTGAGGGTCCAGAGTGAAGGAGGGGTAGGGGCCACTGGAGAGTCAAACTTGCCCAAAGAAGATGACTGACGGAGAACTCTTTGGAATACCATCATTTAACGGGGCTCTTTGTGAGAGGGAGATATGCAAAAATGGCAGAGGGAGGGGGACCAGGAAAGGCATGCTGAGCCAACGAGAGGAAAGTGTCAGGGAGGAGAGTCCATAAAACAGAGTTAAATGTAGCAAAGCTGGGTGGACACAGAAGGACAGGGCTCCTGGCTTAACAAGGAGGTTTGTTTTTGTTTTTGTTTTGTTTTTTGAGGGTGGGTGGGAGGCAGATTGCAAAACCATTTGAGGTGAGCCCTACCCCAGAACTTGTGTTTGGTAGCATGGAAGGCAGCTTGGGACAGCCAGCGTGGGCAGGGCTGCCTTCAAGGGGGTGTGGCCCAGCTGTCCCATAGCTTAATGCTTTGTGGTCACCACCTTGAAAAGTGAGCAAGGGCCCCACATATTCATTCACTGTGAAACCCACAAATTATGTAGCTGGTCTGTGTGTGGGTGCCTCTACCTAAAACTTTGGTTGTGATAGGGCCTCAGCCTGAGAGGGAACAGGAATGTTTAGGAGAAGGTATCAGAAGATGGGCTGCAGGTACGGGAGAGGCAGGAGTTAAGTGGTAGAATTCTTGGAGAGGCAGCGAGAGTGGGACAAGAGACAGATGAGCTTTGTAACACACTGCAAAGGGGTCTGAACCGTCATTAGAGAATGTCTTACCTTTAAAGAAAATCTAATTGGCCAGAATCAAGACAGTGTTCGGGGTCCACTCCTGAGCCAGCTTCCCAATCTTGCAATGGGTCACCTTGCTGGTGAAGTGGTCCATCTGCTCCCTGGCTACTGGTTTGTTCTGGAAGGGGATGAGGAAGACCTCTGTGTGATACAGATTCTGGGCGATGTTGACGAGTCTGCGTGACAGGTACCGCTTCTGGTCCACAAATAGCATGCTGCCCATGTGTGGCTGGCACGCCCCCAGGGAGAGCAAGGGGTAAAGACTTGCTGACAGCAGTGCTCATGCACCATGCTGTCTGGGACCTGGGCAAGGGGAAACCCCAGAACCGCCAGTACCTGGGTGCGTGCTGCTGGCCTGGCCTGGAGAGCCAGCAAGGTGAACGGCATGGAGATGCCAGTGAGGAGAAGATGATGTTCTTGCCAGGGTTTGCAGCCACCATCTGCCTGTACAGGCTGGAGGCCAAGTGGGAATTGTTCAGGAAGATTGAGGAGGCTTATGGGGTCACTGGGGTTGGGTGATTTCCTTGGTCTGGAGCCCCTTGGCCACAGGCATGAAGACCCAGCCTAGCCACCAGTAGCCAGAAGAACAGAGTAGGGCGCTCCATCCTGGACACAGAGACACAGAGCATCGTCACCCAGTCCAGTAGGGCCTGGGACCCCAGAATACTTTCTGTTGCTCTCCTCCTCCATTGAGCGCCCTGCGGTCAGCTTAAATGGGAAGTTCAAGGGGAACAGTGAACACTTGGGTAAGATGCCAGCTTTGGAATCAGGTAGACCTGAGTTTGAATCCTGACTCTGGAACTGTGGTAATCTCAATGTGAGAACATGGTGGACAAAACACAACGGATGTTCGGTAAAACCATAGGTGTTATACAAAAGAAAAAAAAAAAAAGTCCTAGCTGTACCCTGCAGGCTTCTTTAGATTTTAGTTACAATAAATTCTATTTAAAATATAATAGTCACAGTATAAAGATTCAGCTCCTACCTGCTCACTCAATCCTGCTCCCCAAAGGTAATCAGTTTTAAAAATTGGTGTATGTTGGCCTCAATTTTTTTGTTTGTTTGGGCTTGTATATGAATTATATGAATTCAATATGTGATATTTACACACAGAACATAGCTATATGTATGAATAATTATATGTGCACACTTCAAATGAAGTGGGATTACATTTTGCATGGTGTTCCATCACTTTTTAATTTGATACACGCTACATGTATTTTACTGTTTTGTCAGTAGGTGCCCATCTCCTTTATTGTGATGGTTCTATGTATTGCATAGAGAGTATTCACTTGCTACAAGTCATTATATCATCTTCTATTGGTGGGTATTGATTTTTTTAAGTTTTTAAAAATTTATTTACTTTGAAAGAGAGAAAGAGTGAGTGAGCTGGGGAGGGGCAGAAAGAGAGAGAGAGAGAGAGAGAGAGAGAGAGAGAGAGAATGAGAATCATAAGCAGGTGCCACAATGTCAGCACAGAGCCCAATGTGGGGCTCAAACTCAGGAACCTGGAGATCATGACCTGAGCTGAAATCTAGAGTCGGATGCTTAACTGACTTAGCCATCCAGGCGCCCCTGATGGGTGTTGATTTTTTCCCCATTATGTTTCAAAAATGCGTCATGAAAAGTGTGAATGATTTTGTAAGGTTCATTTACGAATTTGGCATGCATTTAAATTTCCTAGGTACTACCAATTGGCCATCCACAAAGTCTGAACCAATTATGTTCCTACAAACTCCAGGTGAAGCTGACTCCTACACCATGTTCTTTCTGATCGGATATTGGCATCATTTTATTGTTGACTATGTAATGGAAATGGCCTTTTGCTATATATTTTTTAAATTGTTGTTCGGTTGCAGGAAATTCTTAAGTACATAACAAATACTGAGCCTTTGCTGGTCAAAGATGCTGTGAATGTTTTCTTTGGCCAGTCTGTCTTTGTCTTTCATCATAAAGAAGT